AGTTAAAGTCGCGCCGGAATGTTAAAGTCGCGCGGGAAAGTTGAAGTCGTGCTGAAATGTTTAAGTCGTGCCGGATAATTGAAGTTGTACGCCGGAGAATTTTTGGCTTTCTTGCTTGACTTTTCGGATTACTATCGTCTTTGTCCCATTGCAGAAGGTATCAGTTTCACTTAATTTCATGTTTCTTGCGTGCAGAGTAACTTGAATGGTTTTCGTTGTGAAGTATTAATGTAAAGCCAAGGCATAACTTGGGTTATAATTTTTTTCTATAATTACAGATGTTTTCGGCTAAGCAAAATAGCAAAGACCTGACCTCAGGAACTCTGAGTGAATTAACCAGATTTCAAGCTTTTGAATGCCGTTTTCCTCACCTAAAAAGGCCCAGAAATGGGAGGTAGAAGTTCACGACCAACCGAAACAACAATCGAATTTACTGAGTTTGCAGTATATTCCAGATAGGCATACGTTAGAGTCATGGGGGGATGAAATGAGGAGAGTTAAGAAGCTATTGCTACGCGGAAAGTTCTTTGGGTTGTTTTGATGACGATGGAATCAAAGGCATGCTTCGGATTACCGAGGCAATAGGTATTAAGAGAGCTGTCGAGAAAGAACTCGATTAGTTTGCATCGACCTACCCTCGCCCACTTTCTGTGATAAGCCATCCTGCCACTAATTCTATCAAAAAGTTCCAAAATCTTATTTACGGAGAAAAATTTGATAAGCAGGTCGATGGTATACAAATGTCACCCAATGAAATGGCGAATGTTTGTTGCGATCGGTGGATCTCATCTGATCATGTACATTGGTTGCTTGACGATCTAAATATTTCACAGAAAAAAACTCTTTGAGTTCACATCAATCACGTGTTGGATGTAGAGGCGTTCGTGGCTCGCTCTCTTCCAGATGGCCAGTCAAAGCCAACGAGTTTGATCTTTGCCCTTAATGTGGGTAAGGATTCAAGTGGCAATGTATTCATTGCAAGCGGATACCGGAGTGGTTGTCACTGGACAATGTGCCATGTTGATCGGGAAAAAAAGAAAATAGTCTATGGTGACTCACTGGCTTGGAGCGTACCAGTCGCCCTCTTGCCTAGATTAGAGCAATTCATCGAGCACATTTATGGAGAATGTTTATCCGACTACTCCGTTTTCGAGTGTCACACTTCAAGTAACGTTTTCACTGAACGGGAGCACAAATGTGGATTCAGCTGTGCATCTCAATACCCCCTTCAGACATGCTCTAATATATGCGGCGTTGTGGTGTTGATTATGGCTGTGTACGCCTGTACAGCCCGATCATTTTTTTCTTACATTACCAATTCAGGTCAATCGCAGGCGGTGTCACCTTCAAATGTCTTCATAAGTGCCCCACGCGCTATACAAAGTACTTGCGTAGAGTGATGATGGGATGGATCGGTGAGAAATCAATTAACCCTGAGCATGTGGTTCCATCTTCTTTTCTTCGCCCCGAACTTAGTCACGAGAGCCAGTCAGACTCCGATTCGGACTTGGACACTCCTAGAGTACCATCATCAAAAGGAGACATAGATGAGAGAGACAACACCGCAGAGAACAATGAGAAGGGACTTTGTATTCAAGGAAAAGCGGAAAGGGCAGGCAGAACTGAGAGCACTCAAAGCAGTAGTGAAGCAGAGGATAAAATCCTGGACAACAAACAGTTACAAAAGATCAATGGTAACTAGGAAAAAAAAGTCAACAAAAGTGAAAACAGAAATGACAAGGCCAGTCAAGAGAAATACCGTAATATTCCTGTTAAGAGAGTGGGTGGAGAGAAAGATGGAAAAAACAAGGGTGATCGTGACAGAGCAACTGACGGCGATGGAGTCACTTGTGATGAGAAGAGAAACTGTGATGACAGCCCAAAGCATAGGCCAGGTAATGGAGAGCAGCATAGAGGTGAACGAGGAACCGGGAAGTCTCATCAATGTCCTGAATGTGAATATTCTTGTGTTAAACTATCAAACATGAAGAGACACATCAACCGAAAACATACTAGGGCTGTCGGGAAGAGAGCGTTCCAAAGTGGGAAGTGTCTATGTCTTGAGGGTGGCCACCGATGTTTCAGGATTAAGGACCTAAGGAAACATTTGTCTACAGAACACGGCGTGATATTCAGGACAGAAATTTTGCAAATGCAAAATGCTAAGGGTGAGGTTTACTCAGCCTCTTTTTTTAAATTAACCCTTTAACTCCCAAGATCTCATTAGTAATTCTCCTTACTGCCTCCTATACAGTTCTTGTGATGTTAGTTTGGAGAATTTGGTATTGGATCAACTTATAATCTCCTAACTGATATTTTTCTTTATTCTCATTACTTGTCTCCTTGATATTGTATTGATATTGTAAGGAGAAATTATGTCTTGGTCACTCATGGGAGTTAAAGGGTTAAACATCTCTTATAACTTTCATATCTACTTATTTCAGACCCTTAGACGAGTCCCAAATGACACATAATATATCTTTATTTTAGAATTCGAGACGTGGAAAGCGGACACTGAGGAGAAGGAAGGCTGCTCTTTTGTCAAGGCGACAGGTGCGTTACTTAAAGAAAGCGGTAACCCTTGAAAATGCAATAAGGGCAGTCTCTGCAGGCAATTAACATGTCTCACTTTCAACCAGTAATTGTTAATTAATTAATTGATTAATTAGTTAATTCATTCATTCATTCATTCACTTATTTGTTAACTTTTTATTTGCTTACTTATTTACTAATAAAGGTTCCAAGAAACAAAAAGACAGTGTGCTTAGGGTCGATTATTTCCAGTGCAACCGTTGTGGGAGTCAGAGGCCACGCAGAACTGGAAAGAGAAGAGGAAAGTCTCAAGGTACTAGTTCAGGTCAACGAAAGAAATCTCTACTTTGTAGGCATATCATCTCAAGATCTTTGTTTCAAACTAAGAGAAATCTCGAAATTAACTTATTATAAATATCATTTTAATTTATTAAATGCTATAGGAGATTTTTATTTATCTGTCTTTCTGCATATCTTTCGGTCATCTGTCTCTTTTTTAATAATGTTGTATCGTTACTTTATTGTACTAAATTTGCATAAACAATCGATCAGAAACGATTTTAATTCGTTTAGTTTTAATGATGGAATACTCTGCATTTTTCTTTTCACAGGAACCTGCAAGATAGAGAGGAACTGTACTTCCACACTTAATGTATGTTGAATCTAGCGGATGGCAAAGCAAAAGTGCTATACCCACTATGGCCACACAAGAGACATCCAGCATACGTGGCTGCCAAAA